CTTTGAACTCCCTATATTTTTAGAATATCTGAAAATTATCTCTGTCAAGTTTTTGTATTGTAGTTGACCACACCCTTTGTGCCACTCTCTTTAATCTTAGCGGTAACAATAAACTTTTTTTAAGACAGTGTATTGCATTTGCTAATTATATTTGGTTCATAGGAAAGCAGAAACTTTTATGCATACGGATTTTACCAAATACACTAGGCACTAGCCAACATGTACAAAATCTAGGAAAGTTGCAAGCTTTATGATTCTGTTGTACTTATCTGATGCCTCATCTGACTTCTTTTGCGTAAAATCCATCCCAATCAAGAATAGGAAAGATACCAATTTTGTAAATTGCACAAAAGGGAGAATTTGTATAGTTTGCACACGTAAGGGGAGATGATTATAAAGGTGAGAAAGGAACAGCGAAGGGAGAAAATGTTATCTGATGATTAAAAATGGATGATGATACAAATATATACATGGAAGCTAATTAATGAACATATGGTATGCCGTTAATTTTTTGTTGCTAATTTAAGCTGACATATGACATGGCTTGTAATTCTCTTTAACCGTATATATTTTCAATATTAGCTTGTTTGTCTTTCTGAAACATTAAAATGCATACTTGGCTGCTGAGCCACTGAACAACAACCTTGTCGTTGATAAAGGAAAACTGTGTGTGAACAAAATAGTCGAACATTGTATTCCACCACGTTGCAACTTTGAACCCATGTTAGGTTAATTCTCAAAGCAATGCTCACTATCTTGAGTTCTCTTTAAATTACTGGTCTTGTTAATAAATTTTTGCAATGTGTACCAAACACCACGTCAAGTTTTGGAATGGAACATGATTGGGATGGTACACAATTTTGAGGCATCTTATTATACATTTATTGTTTGTTTTGGGAGAATGACAAATGTGAAGAGGCTGATAGGTAGAAAAATTGGTGATGCTGCAGTGCAAAGTGACTTAAATCTTTGGCCGTTTAAAGTCATAGCTGGACCTGATGGTGGCAATGGAGCAAAACCTATGATAGCCGTGACGTACAAGGGTGAAGACAAGCAATTTTCTGCTGAAGAGATATCTTCAATGGTCCTCCAAAAGATGAAGACTATTGCAGAGGCTTACCTAGGCAAACAAGTTAAAAATGCTGTTATTACTGTTCCTGCATACTTCAATGATGCCCAGCGCCAATCAACAAAAGATGCTGGTGTCATTGCTGGACTTAATGTGTTGCGTATCATTAATGAGCCCACAGCTGCTGCAATTGCCTATGGTCTTGACAAGAAAGTAGGAACTGGGATTGGTGATTCTGGTCGGAAGAACATATTGGTTTTCGATCTTGGGGGTGGCACTTTTGATGTCTCCATTGTCACAATAGAGAAGGATGTGTTCGAAGTCAAAGCAGTTAATGGGGACACTCACCTTGGTGGAGGAGATTTCAATAACAGAATGGTGAGTCACTTTGTAGCTGAGTTTGAGAGAAAACACAAAAAAGACATAAGTACAAGTCCTAGGGCTCTTGGGCGGCTGAGAGCAGCTTGCGAAAGGGCCAAGAGAAATTTATCTGCAGCTACTGAAACGTCTATTGACATAGAATGCCTCTTTGAGGGCATCGATTTCTCTTCGATCATCACCCGTGCACGATTTGAAAAAATGAATTTGGATCTGTTTAAGGATTGCATGGACCCAGTTGAGAAGTGTTTGAAGGATGCCAAAATGATGAAGAGTGACATTCATGATATTGTTCTTGTGGGTGGGTCTACCCGAATACCAAAGGTTGAGGAATTGTTACAAGAACTTTTCAATGGAAAGAAGCTCTGCAAAAGCATAAACCCAGATGAGGCTGTTGCTTACGGAGCAGCGTTTCATGCTGCATCCCTGACCGGTGCTGCTTTTGGTCTGAATAATGATGTTGTGCTGGTGGATGTTGCTCCTTTGTCTCTTGGTATTGAAACTAATGGTGGTGATATGTCTATTGTGGTTCCAAGGAATACCCCCATCCCTACAAAGATAACAAAGAAAAATTACCAAAATGCAGTTGACTATGCAACAAGGTGTTGTTTCATTGTGTATGAGGGAGAGAGGCCCTTAGCAAAGTACAACCACTTCCTAGGTGAATTTTTCCTTAATGGCATTCCTCCAGAACCCAAAGGTGTCGCTAGGTATGATGTCCATTTTGAAATTGATACCAATGGCATCTTGACTGTGTCTGCAGAACTAGTGGGAAGTAAGAACAAGAACCAAATTACTATTACCAATCACAACGGGAGGCCGTCAAAGGAGGAGATTGATCGGATGGTAAAAGAGGCAGAAGTGTACAAGGCTCAAGATGAGGAGCTCAATAAGGCATCAAAAGCTAAAAATATTTTAGAGAATTATATTCACTATGTGAGGGATACTTTGAGAAGCTGTCGAAAAGGTGTTAGCGTGAAGAAGATGATAATTTTGAAGGATGCAGTTGAGAAGGCGGAACAATGGTTAGAGTGGAATTACCTACTAGGTGAAGCTTCCAAGTTTGAGGAAAAGATGAAAGAACTCAAGACATTATGTGAGTCTGTCATAATAAAGATGCAGCTTCAGGGAAGTAACACATGTGTAAAGTCTGAGATCATTTACACATTGGATAATTTACACATGTAAATCCGATGATTCACTTATCTGTATGGATGATTTACATGCTTTATTTTATTTTGGCTTCCACTAGTCCCAGAGTTTTGCAATTTCTTTTAATCCCTTGGTAGCTGAAGCATCTTAATGTGTCTGTTTTTAGCTGGAATTTTTATGTGTTCTTTAGCTTTTTCAAGCATCTCTTCTGGGGAATGTTTCTTAACTGCTGCATGAAGCAGAAGAGGGCATATTCTTTTTATATGCTTCAATGAAAGAAGAAAAAAGAAATGTAGACTCTAACTTTCTTGTCATTCATGTATTTAGAGTCAACTGGGTATTGAATCTCAAAATAATGTAGTTATTAACAACCTGTTATTCAATCTGTCGTTCCTGATTGCATGTATATTTTATTTTCTACGTGTGAAGTCCTTCACCTTTCCATGTTTCCATTTGATTTTTATTTTTGCAAAGAGTTCTGAATACATTCAAAACTCTTTCCCCTATTTGGTTTTGCTTTCATAAAATTTGTAGCAAGCACCAAGACAAGTTTCCTACTCTTTTGAAAACAAATTGAACAAGATGGGGCTTGAATATGCCTACACAGTACACATGGGAGAGATCTCGGCATGCGTATCTTGGAGTAATTTTTGGACCTTTTGGTATTAGACATGCATGTATTTTCAATTCTGGTATAAGTTTGATTACTTCTTTGCTAGCAGCTGAGAATCTTCCTTCCTTATTTAATTCCATATTAGACTAAGATAACCAAGGCCCCACTTTGTGAACTGCGACTGATTTGTGAGCCATATGTGTGAACATTAAGAAAAGTTTAGAGGAGTATTTGGAATAAGATAAACTTACTGTATTGTAAATTAATAGGCATGGACCCGGGCCGGGTCGGGCCCGGGCCGGGTCAAGGCCCGGTCGGGCCTCGGGTCCTATAATGGTAGGCCCGGGACCGGCCCGGTCAATGACCGGTTCCGGTTCGGGCCGGGTCACCCGCCCGGGTCACGGGTCGGGCCACCCGCCGGGCCGGGCCGGGCCAATAATTTTTTTTTTTTATTAATTATATATTGTACAAATTGCTATTAAAAACAAAGTTCAAGTGCATTTATTTGAAATAAGAACTACATTTGAGAATTGAGAAAAAAATAACAATACGAAATACATTTTGTAAATTGTAATGAATATCAATTGGGATTTCCGCCACCGTTGGTTGTTGTTTTCCCTTGTCACAGGACTTCATATGTTTTATTGGCATCCCGTATCCGTATGAACGCCCCAAGCAACAGTCTTTCTTGCACCACCTGCAAGTTGCCCACCACAGTCCGGTCTTCGGGTCCTTCCACTTGTCAAAATTGTTTTGCATAAGGGAAGATGTACTTTCCATATTTAAAATGGTATATGTATAACAGTATAAGTAATTAAGTAGGAATGTAGGATAATAAGAGAAGATGAAGATGGAGAAGAGTTTGAGAAGAATTGGAGAAAATGTGTAGAAAAATGTTAGAAAATAGATGTATTTATAGGTGTTTTTGAACCCCACTCCCCACACCACCACCCCCGGGACCCCCCTGCCCCCCACCCATAGCCCCAACGGCTATATAGCCGTTTGGGAGCTTTGAATTTTTTTTTTTTTTTAGTTAGACACATATTGTAAAATAAATTAATTAATTTAATGAATTAAGTAAAACTAAAACAAATGTTACAAAATAGGTGTATAAGTATTTAAACAAATTACATATTCTAAATGTATTTTTAATTTAAAAACCGGCTTTATATTTTAGAAAAATAATTTTAAGTCGTTACATTGTAACCAATTAATTAATTTGAGAAGTGCTACATATGAAAAAGTGAACACATATTTATTTGAAATATGAAGTACAAGTTTACAAATTAATTTGAACTACAACTACAAATTTACAATTTTGAAATATGAAGTACAAGTTTACAATTTTGAAATATGAAGTACAAGTATAAATAAATTTGACAAGTGCTATAAAATACATTTTGTACTAAATTCTAAAATACTAATCAATCGGAATCTCCGGCATAGGTAGAGCCACCATCGGTTGTTGAGTCATCCATAAAATCTTGGGAGGGGGTGATGCTCAATTCTTGAGTTCTACGTGCGGCCTTCAACCAATCGTGGTAGCATATAAGCGTCTCAAGAGACTCCGCGCTCAATCTCGATCTAGATGCCGTTAGGACGTTGCCGGCCGAACTAAATTCTTGTTCCACCGCAACTGTTGAAACCGGCATTGATAGTACTTGCTTAGCCATCCGTGCTAAAATCGGGAACGTTCTTTCTTTTGACTTCCACCAGTCTAGAACGTCAAAGTCATCATTTTCTTCAAAATCAACTTCATATGTTAAATACAAAGTAATCTCATTCAATGCGCTTTGTTCAGTGACGTGAGTTGTTTTAGTTTTTTTCATAAGATTGCCAAATGCAGATTTAAAAATCGATTTTCCTTTAGATGAAGATGTTCGTGACGGGGGAGGGGGAGCGTTGCTATATTGTGCACGAAACTCATTAAATAAGGCATAAAATAAAGTACTAACCTCGTTGTATTCCGTTTTCGGATCTATGGGGTTATCCTCATACATTGGAAATTCACCGAAAAACGCAAGATAATAGAAGTTGAAACAATCTTCCAAATTAGCAAGTCTATAACGAGGATCGAGAATAAATGCAATACCATAAATATGGGGAATATGCGCATAATATTTTAAAAACTTTTCCTTCATATAATCACAAAAATAATGAACGAAAACGGCATTTTGAAATTCTTTAAAAGCATCGGCGAGATTAACAGCTTGTGGAATAAATTGGTTTGCGGTAGGTTTATAAACATGACTAAAAGTTTCAGTAGCATTAAAAAAATATATCAAAACATTACAAATTTTTTCGCAAGTGTCGATCTCAGCCGCGTTTATAATATAGTTATCATGTTCTTTTAAAAAAGCAGGAAAATGTTCTTTATATCTAAGAACAACTTTAAGTAATTTATAAGTACTATTCCAACGAATACTCAAATCTTTAGGAAAAGCAACATATCTCACACCTCTTCCAGTCAAATAACTTTGCCATTTTAATCTAAGTTGACCATTACCCCAAATACGTCTAACCCCCCCCTTTATTACCTCCATGGAATCTCCTAACGCTTTTAAACCGTCTTGCACACATAAATTTATAACATGACATGCACACCGTTGATGAAAAAATCTACCCATCAAAGAATTGGCACCACACAACTCACGCAATCTAGGTATAGCAGCAGTATTATTAGTAGCATTATCGAAACCAATAGCAAACACCTTATCAATCAAATTATACTCAATTAAAATACGCTCAATCAAAATATAAATATGTTCAGCGGTGTGACGATCATTAAATTCACGAAAAGCAAGAACACGTTTATGCATATTCCAATCCTCATCAATATAATGTGCAGTCAGACCCAAATAATATAAATGATGAAAATCATCCTCCCATATGTCAGAACAAATAGTAACACGCCCATCAAAGTTTGCAAAAAAATTTTGTAACCTTTCCTTTTCCGCATTATAAAGCCTTATTATTTCTTTCTTAACAGTTTTGCGACTATAATTTCTAAATTGAGGATTTAAACTACCTTGTGCATAATCTCTTAAAGCAAGACTTTCAGAAAACAAATAAGGCAAATTTTCTTCACAAATTAAGTTAGCCATACCAGTCAAATTTTGTGCATCATTGTAGGAGAAATTACCAAAAGGTTGAGAATTCGCAAACCTCGATATTTGAGTTTGCTTCCCCGTTCCGCCGCCTAATTTTGCATACTCCACGGGGTGCTTTGCCTTAAGATGCCTTGCGGCGGATCCGTATCCGCCGGAGGTTCCCAAACTATAATTGTTGTTGCACCACTTGCAAGTTGCGTGCCAATAGCCGGTTTGTGGGTCCTTCCATTTATCAAAATTATTTTTCATTAGTTCAGACTTACTTTTTTTATTACCGGTGGCGGTTTGGGATGAGGCAGGCGCGTCGGCGTCGTGGCTGCCGGCACCCTCCTCCTCGGCCGTCTCCGGTTCCAATTCCTCCGCATCTTCATCCTCAAGCTCCTCTTCGTCAATGGTCGTCGGCATTTGTTGTTGTTGTAGAAAGCGGTTATTATGTCGGGCCAATTCTTGTTGGAGTTGTTCTTCGGACATCGCATCTCCATCTCGCCTTTGGTAACCCGTTTCAAAATCATCTCGACTTTGAGATGCAGACCCGGCAAGTTCTTTACCTTTGCGGGATTTCTTCCTCCCAATCTCGTTTCTTCGATTGCGTTGGAGGTTACCCAAATCAACCGAATATCTACCACCTTCCATCTAAAAAATGTAACAAATATTAATTCACAACAAATATAATAATGGATACAAAACTAATGCAACTAATTAAAACTATTTTAATTAATACTTCAAACTAATTTTTTGCAAAGTAGAATTAATGTGTGTCTCTACAATTAAAATTATAGCAACTTTTGAAGTAAATAACTAGTACAAGTAAAAATGTAACAACAATGCTAATTAAGTAGTTAACTAGTATAGTGACAAATGTAACAAACTAACAACTAGTTAAATAAAATGTGAAGTATTTTAATTAGTATAATGAAAAATGTAACAAGAATGGTATTGAAGTATTGAACTAATTAACTAGTATAATGAAAAATGTAACAAGAATGGTATTGAACTAATTAACTAGTATAATGAAAAATGTAACAAGAATGCTAATTAACTAATTAACTAGTATAATACTAGTTATAGTAAGTAATATATAATATAATGTTTATATTATATAATATATAAGTATACTATACTATACGATGAGTAATACACTTATATTTTATACTTTAATATATAAATATATATTAAGTAGATGTAGAATGTATGTATTAAGTGGATATAATAATTGTATAAGAATTAAATATTAGAGTATAATGGAGAATTGGAGATTGGAAAATAAGTATATATAAAATATAAGTAGAGAAGTAGATATTATTATGTATTAAGTATATAATAATAGTTTATAAAGTATATTTAATACTTTATTATATAAAGTATATATTAAGTAGATATAGTATGTATGTATGTATTAAGAGATATAAGTAGAAATTAAGTAGATAAGAAATATAAGCAATATAGTATATGTAGATAATAATATATATAAGTAGATAATTAATATATAAGTAGATAAAATAATTGTATAAGTATTAAATAGTAAAATAAAATATAAAGGAAAATAAGAGAATTAGAGAAGATGAATATGGAGAATTGGAGAATGGAGATGAGTAGAGAGTAGGATTTAGAAGAGTTGGAGAAGAGGTGTGAAAAAATGTTTAAAATTAGGAGTATTTATAGGTTTTTTTTTTTAACCCCCACCCCCCACCCCAACCCCCCACCCCACCCCCCACCCAAACCCCCCTGACCCCCCCTGGTACACCCAACGGCTATATAGCCGTTTGGGGTAGCCGTTTGAGCCAAAAGAATCCAAAAAAAAATTTATTTTTTTTTTTTTTAAATAGTGGACCGTTAGGCCCGGGCCCGGGCCCGACCCGGCCGGGCCGGGCCTCCAAAACCAGGACCCGAGCCCGGTCCCGCTAACCCGACCGGGTCTCTGCCCGAACCGGACCCGGACCCGAGAACCGGGCCGGTTCCGGGCCCGCACAGTGACGGGCCGGGCCGGTCCCGGGCCGGGCGGCCCGAACCGGGTCCACGCCTATAAATTAAACAAGAACGAAGAACGCATTCCCAATGTAGATTTTCTGGATTGTAAACTTACTGTAAGTCTGTAACAAATAACACACGCAAGGTAATGAAAAATCCACACGATTAAATTACCAATTGTTCAAATTTAGAAAACCGCAGTTACCATATTAATATTTTTTTCATCAGTTACCATATTAATATTTGAAAAGTTTAAAAAGTTTAACTAAAATTAGTGTTTCGACTTCATTTTCGTATTTATAAATTATAACCATCATTTAAACGTTTAAAAGTTTAATATAAGTTCGTTTGCTTTTAATAAACGAATACATCTGAGAATATAACGTTTTTAAGGTGTTTTAGCACGTTACTTTTTGAAACCTTTAATACAACAACATTCATGTTTTATTTTCAAAAGATTTTGGAATCAACTATCATGAATCGATCCACGATATTGAAAAATAATAAAATATAAATAAAGTAAGATAAAAAAGGATAATATAAAAATAAGATATGAATGTTATCTAATAAAATTTAATAAATTGTTCAAATTTGAATGAATTGGAAAAAATCTATATTTTTTATTTTTGGGAATTATTCCTATATTCTGCATTTTTTTTAAAAACATTTTAATTTTAATTTTAAATTTTTAAATTTTCATTTCATTGTTTTTTTATTCGTGATTATATTTTAACATTTTAAAGTTGTCATCTTTTTCAACATTTTTTACTATTTTTTATATTTTTATTTCGATAATTTAAAAATTCATATGAATTTTTATCAGGTTTATCAATTTTTCGTATTTTTTGAATGACTCGTTATAGCAGGTCAACATGACTATCATACCTTTCTAATTAGGTAGATTCTATGGTACCTATAAGGTATCATACCTTTGTCCACATGGACCAATGAAGATGTTGCAGTTGAATTATTTAAATCTAAATTAAAAAGATAAAGTGATGTGGTCCAATCACATGAATGGTAGGTATGGTACCTCATTTTTTTAAAAGGTAATGAATTTGTCACCTTCTAATTAAGTATACTTGTATTATAATTGATGGTACCATGGATTCTAACCATGGCCTAATTACGTAACCCAGCCCATATCGGGATCAACCCTTAACGGGATTAGCCTAATTAACAGGATTAGCCTATAAACGGGATTAGCCCATAGCGGGATCAGTCCATAATGTGATCAGCCTAATTAACAGGATTAGCCCATAAACGGGATCAAGCCCTGATCGGGATTAATATTAAATAAGCCACTGTGCCCAATTAAGAATCAGGCCCACGATAGGAACCCACAGCCAGGCCGAGCTGGACAGCATACCTCGAGCCTGGGCGGAGTTCTAGTGAGGCTGGGATATTCCTAGGGTTTATGTGGCAAACTATCATTTAAGCATAGCTATTTGACAGCAGACAAGACTCAGCAGGAAGGCGTGGACTTGAGAAGATGATCGTTGTGTAACGTCCAAGACGTTACAGGAGACTGATTCGAATAGAATATCATTAAATAACATTTATTGTATTAGTTTCCTTCTAGAATATTAACTCTCAAGTCTATAAATATTTCCTATAAATTCCCTACCAAGGGATCCGATGGGTCATTCCTTCTCCTGAGTAATAATAAGAATACTGCTTTACGCTGCCATATTTTCATATCTTTCGTAGAATTAAGCTCTCGTATTTGGATTAAACTCCATCAATAATGTTTTTATTATTAAATGATAGATTTGAAATACTTACATGATCTATTCTATTCGAGTCTTTTCCTTTTATCTTTTTTTTTTACATTATGTGAACTCCAAATGTTGATATTTATATGACCGTCTTTTAAAACTTTGTCACATTTTCTTTTGGATTGTTCCAAAAATTTTGTTATTTTCTTTTTTAGTCAATTAATTTATGGTTGATTAATTCTCTCCTCTGCTCAATCCTTAACAAATCTTTTTTTGAACAAGTGAGGTGTAAAGTCAAATGATTTTATAGTAAATTGGAGTGTATACACTAATAATTATAAAAACAGGGTGCAAAGTCAAATTTCATTCAAAAAATGAGGTGCAAAGTCAATTTATATCAATTAAGAAATACTATCTCCGTCCCGAAATGACGTTTCCGGTTTGACCTACATACATATTTATGTAAGGTAGAATTTTATTTTAACTTTCCAAATACTATATCGTTACTTTGTATCAAATCAAGAAAAAGTGAGTAAAATTGGTTTTCTTTTATAGAAATAAGAAATTCTCTTTGAAACATCTATAAAAGGAAAATGAAAACTCTTTTTAGTGACGAAGATAACATCAACAATTGTAGCCCATTTATTTACGTGAGTATAATTTTAGGGAGGGAGGGAGGTTTGAATATTGTTTGTATGTTTTTTCTTGGACTAGATGAATCGTAAACCAGAGCGATCAAATCAGATCAGACTTGAACAATTATAAAATATATAGAGACCAAACGTATTCCAGACCCAACCGGATCAGACCAGAAAATTTCAATCCAAGTATAAACATCCTAAATGAGATATGTTTAAGAAGCTTTTTCACACATCTACCAAATTTTGGTTACAGTGTATTGTCCACAGAACACCTTTCCAATGCTCCAACCATTGTGGCATTGTACCGAACGTATTTAAAGAACTAGTTATACGACGCGCGTTGCGCGACGGGAGAATGCCCAATGTGATTATCATATTGATAATATATACGAAAATGCTATTTGTACACGCAAAGTGTACATGACATTTTATTGTGTACAGAAAATTTAACCGGCATTTTGTGAAGAGGACTGTTTTCCGCACAGACAAAAAATGTTTGTGTCACAGTATGATCGCATCCCTATGAAAAACATAAATCATCTGGGAAACATATATCATATGTAATCAAGTACTTCGTATAAAATAAAAATAATGAGAATATGCATCATTGACTTTTTTTTAGATTGGTCATTTGGTTGTGCTTATCTAAGAGCAAATGGATGTAATGTATTTGAATTTTCAGAATAAAAATCAAATTAAGGTAAGAAGTAATAAGTGTAAAATGCCCAGCAGACTTGGTCTTCAAAATCACATTCAATATTCAAGCATCGTTGTATATACAAAAGATATATGGACTTCAAACTACACCACTCTCAAAATAACACCAAAGGCAAAATTAGGCCTCATGAATGGTAGGTTGGTAGACACGGATCAGGTCAGCTACTGGTCAGCCACTGAAATTAAGCATAAAAAAGTCAAGGCAAAAATTAAAAGCAAGTTTGTGATTCTTTCTTAAACATTATTAAGTTTCAATTTAGTAGTGACATTGACACCGAGTGCAAAATGATTTATGAAGCAATTTCTAGTAAACCTGAATTATTTAATGAAAAATGACAAAAGCCCTTCATGGATCATCGTACACCTACATTGTGAAATTACTCTTATATCCTTAAATAGGTATACTATGTTACGGAGTGATGATTTTATGGGGTATGTACATCACAGTATGACCGCGAGGGGCAATGTAGCAATAATCTATTTAATTACATTTTGGGAAAAGTATGAGGACGTGTGAAGTTGGAACCCAAAACCTCGATGAGTGAAGTGAAAACCATGAATTTCATGACAAACGCCACTTTAGCATCATGAACAGGAGACATTTTTTTTCCGC